TTATTTTTGTCTTTTTCAGAATTATGGATTTTTGTATTTGCAGACATCTTCCTCTCTCTAGAATGTTTCTGTTGAATGAGATTTTTTTTTTCCAAGTAAAGTTAGTGACACTGCATGTATTTCCCACTCTGTTGAGCCATATAGTATCCTTATTTTAAGCTTCTTGAAGTACTTCCCAAGCATTTAATGAATGAAGCCTCACAGCAGCCTCTGGGGCATTTCTGGTTTTGCAAATGGGGGCTGTAGGTACACAGATGTGTTGAATTTCGGAAGATCCCCCCGGGTGGTTAAGGAGTGCATCTCTTGCTGTCTGGCCAGGCATATGATGTACTAGCCAAGTCCTGCTTTGCAGTGAAGTTCCCTTGCCTTAGTTGCTGGAAAAGGTGGTGTCACACTGCTGGGAGGGACCAAGCCCAGGGGTACATGAAGTCTTGCAGTGATATATTTGCCGATTTGTTTAGGATGCTCGCTATGCACACGCACATGCACATTGGCCCTGGCACAGTTCACTTAGTAATAATGTGCCTTTGGTCTATTATTTTGCTTTTAAGATGAATAAGCTAAACTTTGACCTATATTAAGCTGGATGTTTGCATAGATTCAGGCATAGGCATGGATTCAGTCTCAGATGCAGGGCATGTGAGAGTGGAAGTTGTCTTTACTGCTTGGTCTTGATATCTTGAATGTTTGTGGGTTGATAGGATCTAGCCTGGGTTTGCTGTGTCCTTTTTTTTTTTTTCCCCAGACCCTAATCCAGTTCTCCTTATAAAAGAGGTTTGTGGTTTCCAGCTGATTTGTACCATTCTATTCTCCACTATTGCCTCCTCGAAGCACAAGCCTGTTATTGTAGTAGTGGCTTTCAGACCCCATCTGCAGCTGTTCGGGTCTTGACTTCTTAAATTATAATAATTTTAGTCAAACAGCAGGAGACCTGTGCTCATTTTTTTGTCCTCAGAAATTAGCTGCTGAAACACGCTGAAGAGAAATGTTTTAAGAGGGTTACGTGGTTACAATTGTGGAACTGGTAAACTTGAACCAGCTGCTGGAGCTCCTCTTTCTGTTAATACACATAGCTATTATTTATTCCGGACAGAGTGGAGATCAGCTAGCCAAAGTACAGAGAGAGATGTTTTTGTCATGACTTTCTGTGTTTGAAATGTATTTTGAAGAAAATATTTATGAGTTTTTCTTAACATACCGTGTTAAAGAGTGCTATAGTTGGTATTTCTGGGGTAAGAGAAATGTATTTTAACCAGCTGGTAAGCCTCAAGATATAGTTGTAGATTAGCATTGAGCAGATGGGACTTTATAGAAATTGCCCACTCCTTTTCTACGAAAAAATACGGAATTCTTGCTGTGAGGATTCTGCACAAGACGAATCTGACACTGCAAGACCCTGCTTAAGGTTGCCTGGGGGAGTGTCTGTCCCCTTAGCCAAAAAAAAATTCTCCATGCAGTCTTCTTTGGTGAATGTCTACTCTGAACCTTTTGAGAATTGACCCGTGGAAGTCAAATACCCTCTTGTGGCGCAGCATTCGGTAAATGGTGAGGGGGAAGGATGGCTGTGAAGGTGTGTGAAAGTCTTCATCTTCACTACTCAGCTGTATAAGAGAACTTTATCAGGTGATACCAGACATCAAAACTTGCCTCACTGAAATTCAGTTAAAGAATTTGATGCCATTCAAACATAATTGGGACTTAAGCTTTTGAAGAAGGGGGCTTAACCCCTACATTGGCTTGGCCAACGTTTATGTGGTATTTGTGCATATTTCTTTTCGATCAAGCAACATGCAACAGAAATTTTGCATCTTCTTCAACAAGTACCTGTAAGAAGGAGGTATAAGAACATTTTTTTGGACTTGAGTCTTTTTTGAGTATTATGTTTTCTTGTTTTCTTTGTTTGGTCTTTTTTTTTTTTATACTGAGCTGTATGACAGTGTTCTGGGAATTAATCCAGTGGTCCTGGATGGTGGAATCATTTTGAAGAACTTGGTGGAGAAGACTTTTTCCATGCTTTGATGTGAAAAGTATAAGCTTTAAAGAACTTCCCTTCCAAAAATGTTGTCACTCACTCCTAAATAAAGGGAAAAATACTGCGGATGTAATGAAAATAGGAAGAAAATATCGTTAATGTAGCATTAGGGATTCAACTAGAACAATGCTACCTGTTGTAATTCAAACTACTTGGAGAAAAACGTGGAAGAGAATGCAAAATACAGCCCTGCTGTGATCTCAGGGAAAGCTGCTGTCACAGTGTTTCCATCCCAGGTATTACTCAGTCATCAGTACTCTCTCTTCTTGTGGTGTTTCAGGCTTTTATCTCATTTTGCACAATTCAGCTGTATCTTGTCCCTTTAACCTCCCTAGTAGTTCATATAACTCAGTATGATTCTGCCCGGGGAAAGATTTTAATTAACAATGTGTAAAGAATAAAGGGAACAAACGGATTTTTAAAAACAATGCTTTGAGGCAGGCACGTGAGTTTGCATTTTGATTATTATTTTTTTTGTTTTATTTGGGTAATCTCTCCTGTTTATTTAACTGGTGTGTATGGACATGGGTCCTACAAAACTTGAGGTTCTGTGCCTTGCACACCAGCAGTCACGATGAAGTTGGTGAGTTTTGTGGGTGTACAAGAAGGAGTGAGAGATGAGATCTTCCTCTGTCTCTTGTCTTAGCCTTTATCCTGTGGATTCCTAAGCAAAGGCTATTGCGGAATTTTCCAGAAAAAGGTCTTGGGGCGTAAATAGGAAACGGGTCTCTCCAGGGATGTATTCTGTAGTGTGACAGCTGTAGGAGAGTTGAGACTGTAATTTCACATGACATGATTACAGTGTAATATACTATTTTGGTTCTCCTGATCTGTATTGCCGCATCCTCTTAGAACGTTTACATGGAGCTTATTTCAAGCAGCCTGTACATAGGTTTTTTTGGAAGTACCATCCTGAGATATCAAGGACAATGAAGTTGACATTGTAAGGGGTTGAATAGCCTTGCAGTGTTGTATTGCTTCAAATCCTACATGAGGCCAGGGTGAGTGTTGACCTTCCTTTTCCTAATAAAATGAACTAAAGCTGTCCATGCCCAGAGCAATTAAAATATCCATTTTCAGTGGAAGAAGTTTTGGTGTACTAACTCTGAAATTAGTGACCTTGGCTTATGTTTTGATCTGTAAACCCTGTAAATAAGTGGACCAGCCAAGGCAGGACACACTGGAGGTTCTGGTTCAGCTGGCTGTTTGAGATGCCTTGGGTTGTCCTGTGAGGCCTCCAGCTGTAGCTCCCACAAATAATGCATCTCCCAGTAGACCTTTATCATATCTACTGGTCCTAGGGTAGCCGTGGCTCTTGCCATCAGTGATTAGGCAACTGAGGGGAACTCGGTGTTTATTCTCTTCCTGCCACTTGGTCACTCTGGGCTATGTGTTTTTTTAAGACAGAGTAGATTTTTAATTTTTGTGCATGTGTGGGCTAACATGGGGACTGTGATACTGGGTGAATTGCAGTAAGGGGAATCAAGAGCTTTCTGGAGGCTGAGAAGAGTTTTTCAGGTTTTCATTTTTAATTTTAATTTTTGTGCATGTGTGGGCTAACATGAGGACTGTGATACTGGGTGAATTGCAGTGAGGGGAATCAAGAGCTTTCTGGAGGCTGTGAAGAGTTTTTCAGGTTTTCATTTTTAGTCAGTTATAAATTTGTGAGATTTGTTTTGATTTCTTTCCTCTGCTGCTGTTTTCCACCAGTTTAAATCTGGTTTGAAAACAAAACTTGATGCTCGCTATACAGACAGAGCACTATTAGGTCTGTTGTAACACAGTGCTATAAGTGTGTGTCTGGAATGATATACAGAAATAAATGCTAGACTGGTTTGGGTTGGGAGTGACCTTAAAGATCATCTAATTCCAGGCCCCCTGCCATGGGCAGGGACACCTCCCACTGGACCAGGTTGCTCAAAGCCCCATCCAGCCTGGCCTTCAACACTTCCAGGAATGAGGCACCCACAACATCCCAGGGTAGCCTGTTCCAGTGCCTCACCACCCTTGTAGTAAAGAACTTCTTCCTAACGACTGATATAAATCTGCCCTGCTCCAGTTTAAAACCGTTGTACTCATCTTATTGCACACACCCTTGTAAAGAGTCCTTCCCCAGCTCTCTGGTAGGTCCCTTTTAGGTACTGGAGGCCAGAGCCTCCTCAGGGCTGTCCTCAAATATAGAGATAAGGGTATCTCCATGTTTGAATAAATAAAAAAATGAAGCTTGCTGCAGTCTGAGAACAGGCCATGCCAGGCTCTGTGTGCCAGTGCAGAGTGTTAATCTGTGATTCTGTGCTCATCTTTGAAAGATTCTGCCAGTGGCTTGTGCCATCATTTCCAACGGTTATTGTATGCTGAGCTAGGAATATGCTATCTGTTCTTAACTAAGATATGTTTGTTTTTATTAGTGTGTTTTCGCTGCCTAGCTGTACTCTTTATTCTGCAACACTTAAGGAAAAAAAATCTGATTATTTGATTCAGCAGGTCTAGTTTTGACCTTACATATACTGAGTCTTACAGTGATTGTGAATCCATTGACTTCAGACACATTACTCCTGATTACACCAGGGTCGTCTCATAATGAGGGGCCAAGATATTAAATGGAAATGAACCCAATAAAGCCATCAGGCTCTGTCCTCACATGCTTGATCTGAACAATAAGAACTGGTGATTTATAAATCATGTTGTCTGTTTGCTTCTTTGTCATTTAATTCTTTTTTTCCGTTGAATAAATGAAGATGTTCTGACCTTAACTCATCCCTTGTGAATTTGTTTGAAAAAAGCAGGATAGCTGTACCCCTTAAATGTGACTCAAGCTTTTGTTCAGATTTAGTGAGCGTCATCTTATTTTTTTAAAGGAAACATGTTTCACTTGACCTCTAGGATCTGGCAGGACTTGCTGCATCCTCTTTTTCGTCACTTTATCTTTGTGGCTTGTTTTTTTAAAACCTTTTTTCTACATTTTCAGAAGGAAGACTGGCCAATGCACAAGCTAGAATGTTCTGCCATGTGCGCTTTTGGGCAGAACTGGAATCCCTCGGAGACCGTGAGGCTAACGGCGAGGGTCCTTGCCAAACAGGTGAGCAGGAGACTGGGCTTGGGACTTACACTCGTACTCTGGGTGCCAGGGAAGGCAGGAAAACGAGAATTGACCGACAGTAACTGTCCCTGCAAAGCACATACATGCAAGCTTCCTGTGTACAGGCGGCTGTAATGCAGGTTGTGCGCAGCTGAACATATTGACCATCAGACCGCTGCAGTAATGTCAGGGCTGCCATAGTCCAGCTGAAGACCTTTGACAGAAGATGGCAAAAGACTGGTGAGGTTCTAAGCTTTGCAGCAGTAACTTTACGACCAAAGTACTGTTTGAACAGACTGGAAAAGTTTACTGATAGTTTCACAGTGTGTCTAGTGTTTTCAGCCTCTGTTCTGACATGCTGGAGCTCTTGGTTATGTGTGTGGGATAGCACCAAGGCCCCACTGGTGAAGAGAAAGAATGAGACTTGGTGCATGTGGCTAAATTCTGAGGAGTGCTCCTAGTGTCACCTGTCTGCAGGCACTGATGTCTTCACGAAGCAGTTGCCTGTTGTACTATTTTTCAGCTATCTCTGCACATCATTGTGTAATCTGTAGCTCTCAGCGCATTTGTGAGTCAAGAACACCTCTGAGGTATTCGGGTGTAAATGTTTGCAATTACTGGAGTTAAGTGGTGAAAAGTAAGAGATTGAGAGAGAAATCTGAGGCCCTTGGTCTTAGGAGAAAAAGAATATTATTAACAAGGAAATAGGATTCAAATGTCAACGTCTGTTCCAGTCTTCCCTAGCTATATATGGATTCTGAGGGTAACGCAAGTGCTTACAGGGCGAGGATGGAATTCGTGAGTTTCAAGGTTATTCTGCTGTGTGTCTTTGTAGAGCTCTAAACTCTCTCTGCAAAAACAAATTCTCTTTGAAGTGTATTTGTGTGATTGAGGTCTGCTTATGTGACAAGGGCAACCTGGATACTGTATGTAGTGAGGATTTTGGTGACCTGCTGGGAAGGTAGCTGCATACTTGCTGTGTGTCTGGATGTGTGTTGTGAGTGTATGTGTGACTTAAAGTGTGGTTTAGTGGTGTTTCACAAACAAAATCAAATGTTTAATGACAAAGAGTCATCGGAATAAATTTGTGCTTTTATTGCTTACAGGGAGGGGGGAGAACCCTACATGTCATATAAAAGCTAAATATGCAAACCATAGTCCCTGAACCTCAGCTGCTGGGCCACCTGCAAAGCCATATTTAATGGCCAAGATTACAAAGAAGTGGCCTTAGGCCAACAATGGAGCATTGCTTTTGAACTCTGTCAACAGTCAGTTTATTCACTTTCCTCAAAGCAAAGCCTGTCTCCTGCCTGCCCGCTATTGTTAGCAGCTTTCTGGGTGTCTAGAACAAAGCAAATGACATATTTAAAATACTGTTCAGTTTATGTATATAAATTTGATAGGAGTTAATCTTTGGCTGCCTAATTTGGTGCAGAGAGAATATTTCTATGGGTTTACTAAGGGCAGTTGGTTTAACTCATTGCTGTTCATAAACTTCTGTAAATTCCATTCAGTGTAGGTTTGGTTTTCTTTTACAGGTAGGAGTTTGCAGCTTATGAATGAGCAGAAAAAACTGCCCACTTAAAACATTAAAATATTTTCCTTTTTTTTTTTTTATTTTTTCCCCTTATTGCTAGAAGATTCACCCTGAAAGGACACAGTCGGAGAAGCTGCTTGCACTAAAAGAGTTTGAATCACGTAAGTAAAATAGGCTTGCAGTTAAACAGGCAGTTGCCTATATCCATGATTTGCTTCACCTGGCGCCCCTCCGTCACAACCTTCCAGAGCATCCCACTCCTGTTGGAGGAATGGAGTAAACAAAGAGAATTGTTCCTCATATTTTTGAGTGCAATGCTCTTCTTTCTCTTCTTTTCTTTATTTTTTTTACCTTGGTTGCTTGTAGAGGCTGTGAAACAGGGGTGAAAACATCGACAGAATTAATTATGTAGCATACATCCATCTCCTGGCTTTTCTGGTACTCCAGTGTCTTTTGAGAATTGTGATGTTGTAAAATTAAAATAGCTGGTATTTGTTACCAGGAGGCATAAAATCAGAGGCAGCACAGTTGCTTGATGGTGACAGTGACTAAGGGGCTAATTGCAGAACCCTCTGGACTGTGCTTCAGTATCTGTCACTGCCAGTCAAATCTGACATGTTATATATGATTGTGTTGAAATTCTATGTCCTAAATGCTCGAAAATAATCCAAAGGATATGAGGTAATGGCTTGCTTTTAACTGGAAGGCTACTGTTAACGTCCAGTGAGACAGAGTTAGAAATCGAGCAACTAGGGGACTAGTAACCATCCTGGCATAGTTTTCAGTGGTCTGTTGTTTCCCTGTCTTGGTGCTGAGAGTAATAAAGAAGGAGACAATAGGTTTGTATATTCACATTTTTCACTCTGGTGGCCTCAAAAACCTTTTGTAAAATGCTGAATGAATGCAGTCAGTGCTATGACTCGAGGTAGCAGAGTAACCAAGCGCAGCGAGATTAGTCTTACTTGCTTCCTGAACAAAAGCTCCTGTCAGCTGTTGGGACAACTGGGGAAATAAGGGGGAAAAATGCCAACATCTGATTTTGCCTAAGGCAAGGATAATTTTTACAGGTGGGTTAGCAGAATTGACTGCTGAAGTAATTTCTGTATATTCTTCTGCATTGCAGCTTGTCTTCAATACTTTTGTGAGCTAAAAGACTGAAATGATTATTTTTTTTCTCTTGCAATGTCCCTCTTGTCCTCTAGGAGCCCTTGTTTTGTTAGTAAGAACCCTGTTGTTGACTCTTCTGTCTCTTAGCACACCTTGACTAGTTCAGCACTTGCCCCGTGCTTTGCAACATGCTGCACAGGAGAGGAAGTGGCACCCGGCTGTCTGTTGGAAGCTCAAAATTTCTTATTGCTGTTTTGTCCTAATTCTCATCATATTGTCCTGTTCAATTTTCCTCAGTACCTTTCGGGACTCTCCTGTCGTTCGCATCTGCCCTTATAGATCATTTCCCCCTTCTTCCACTGTTGTGCAGCCTCTTCTCTTCCTTCATGTTTTCCTCTCCACTGTTATTCTGAGTTGGAGAGGGGAACCTGGTGAGTTGCTGGCTCTCTTAGAGCAGGAGTGAGCTGGTGACACTGCCGGTGTGAGAGAGAGAGTTAGGAAAAAACTTTTCAGTGCTGCTCACAAAGAGAGAGGAGGGACCAGTAGTACATGGTCAATCATCTCTCTAGCTTGCTCTGCATGGACCGGGCAGGAAGAGGTTCAGTGGCTGCAGCTCTGGCTAGAACCTGTCACAGGCCTGAGGGTAAATCTCTGAATAAACCTGAAGGGAATATACTTGGCAGGCGTGCCAGGATGTTTCCCCTGATGTTCCTGCTGTCTCCTATTATCCTTGCCTATCTGCAGGTTAAACACACCTCTGTTGATTGTCACCTCCCAGCCCGTGGAGACATGGACATTCTCCTGCACTGATTGTTCCCTCCTGAAGCAAGTGCCTGCAGTAGGTCAGGTCGATTGCGCTCCTGGGCACCCTCACATTATCCTTCCCTTGCTGCGGAGGGAAGCCCTGGTGACTAGCCCGAGCGTTGTCGTCAGCCGTTATTAGGTCCCTATCACAAATGCTGTAGCCCTCCTCCTGAGAAAGAGAAATCTGTGTCCAGTTACCTGCTAATGTGAAGATGTTAGAAAATGGTTTTTAATCCCACATATTTTTGTAGCATGCATGACTTTGTCAGAAGCAGCGTTAGAATTATGGAAGAACAGACACTTCTTCCAGTACTTTCAGGTAGCTGTTCCTTGAGGGGCTTCTGTTTAAGTAACCTAAGTCTAGTTGCAGTTCACGGGGAAGTGTTCCTGTTACTGAAACGGAATGTATTCTTTGTCCACAGACCTTGACAAACTAGACAATGAAAAGAGGGAGCTGATTCAGAACGACATTGCTGCTCTTCATCACTTTTACTCAAAGCACTTGGAGTACCCTGACAATGCTGCCCTTGTAGTTCTCTTTGCACAAGTAAGTTGGCCAGAACACAGCCTGCTTAGGCGCATGGTGCTGTAGGAGTTTAGCCTTTGTGAAAGGGGAAAAACGTTCATGGCAATAGAAATAGTAGTTCTTTGCTTATCTTAGGGAGAGCTCAGTGTGCCTGATAGAAAAAGAACATCTAACTCCTTGGGCAGAAGTGGCTGGACATGCCCCATTTCAGTAGTGAGGGGAGAGGCTCTTCTCTGTAGCCTTTCTATGAGATGCTTCTCAAATGCTGAAGAAAAGGGGAAAGAGCCTCTCTTAGACTCTGTCAAAGTTAGGTTTCTTTGGGCTAAGCAAAGTGCAGCTGTCGTTGAGCTTACACAGAAGGCTGCTGGTCTGAGACCCTGCAGAGGCAAAATCCTTCATTCAGGCTTCAAACTTGTGGAAATTCTTGCTGGTCAGGTCATCATTGCGTTTGACCTTCACAGGGAGTAAGCTTCAGAGAAGTAGAAAGAGCAGTCTGAAACTTTTATCTGGTGTGTGGCTTTTAAATGCAGTCAGGTAGATGAAGGAAAAGCAGGACGTCTTGTTAGATAACTTCTGAAACGTCTCACCTCTTTTTTTCTCACCTGCTTTTCATATGCATCTAAATTGAATGTACTTTAGTAGATGGAATAAAACACCAGTGGAATACTGAAAGATCCATTTTCTTCTTTTTCCTCCAGTACTTCAAAATAAGCTAATTTTAAACTTAAATGTCTGAGTAAAAAATTTATTTTTTCTATTTTTTTCTAAATGGGGCAGATGTTGACTGCTGTGATGAAAGCTGAGATGGCAAAACCCTGGTTGACAGAGCTGGTTATCTACCAACAAGGAGGCAGTTACTATTTCCTTAGTACAGAGGCCCTGTTATTCTGTAGGGGTATGATTCTTCAGCATGTTTAGTATCTGCTTATCATCCATTGTGCCGTTTCCAATTATACATTTCCCTTCAATGAACAAATTTCCTCTGTTTTGAAAACTTTACAATTTGTATTTGTCAGAGAGACACTTTAAAGACATCATTAGGTCCAGTTTCTTGTGGAGTTTCTGAATGTTTTGTTAGAATGTAGCCAGAATCCTCAGAGATTACATTATTTTGGCTCTAACGACTTTTGCTTCATGATCTGTCCTGGACCAGCTCTGCCAGGTCATGGTACTTTAACTTCTGTGAACTGCTGACTCCCAGATCTGATGTTCCATCTAGTCTTCTCTGTGGGTATCTAATGTCACCCTTAGGTGTCACCTTAAGCTTGTGCTGGTCACTGGGCAACTCTCTGCCACTGTGGATATTGCAATTTTTTTGAACTAAAATATCCAAGGGTCATCTAGATGCTCCTCAGAAGTGTCTTGAAGGGCACAACCTGAGGTTTTAACACCAGCATAAATCTTTCTAGAAGAAGGGGAGGCATGTCAGTGCTTGATATGTGCAAACATGTTTCCCAATGATTAGTTAACTTAGCCTAAAACCAATAGTATGCTGCCGCTCCTTTTTTTTTTTGCTTCGATGCTTTCTCTGGCCTCACACTGTCTACTTTGCTCCTCCATTTGGCGTTTTTTCTCCCTCCTGTGGCTCAGGACAATCATTTGGGACTTGGATACCTCTGACACCTTGCTCACTGCTTTTTGTGGCCTTTGTCTGATGTTTCTTACTCAGCCCAGCTCAGGTGTGATTGGTCCTTTGAGTGTAGCACAGATTTTTGTCCAAACCATCCTCACGTTTTGCTGCTCTCCTTCCCCACTGTTGGCATCATTCTGCTCCCTTTTGTCCCAGTGAAACATACTTCTCCAGACCGGTGCTCTTCCTCTGCAATTGCACCTTGTCATACTTTTCAAACAGTTTTTCTCTTGGCACGAGTTCCGGTGTCTCATTCCTTCCTTGAAAACCTTACGCAGTTTTGTGCCTCACTTTGCACGTTCCCTTTTCCATCATTGGAAACAGCCTTGAGCTGTATTTTTTTTCACTGTAGTATTTAGTCCCTCCACCTTGCCTTTTTTAGTCATGCATTCATTGGGTAAATCCAGTGGTATCTCATCCCTTCCAGTTATTGCTCTTGTGTCATTTCTGGTATGATGCCTTGAAGAATTGGGTTGTCTCTGGTGAGTGGAGGAGAGTTGATGATAACTCACTACGTATTTTTAAATGTGCCCCTGTGATTCAAAACCATCAAGCTGTTCTTCGAGTCGGCCTTTGTAGCCTTATATTCTTACTTGCTGCTGCTATAATATTTTCCTTCTAGTGTTTTTGTAGCCAGCAGTTATATTTTGATTTTGGTTCAGGTATGCTCATACATTGACTAGGGCAGTAGCACACTCATCTTGAGAGACAGGGAGCCTTTGGATGCTACCTTGCTAAAAATAGCAGCATAAAGATCAAGCAAAGATACCGGTGAGTGGATCGGAGAAACAGGCAAGTGTCCTTAATCATGAACTCATCCTGAACAGTTCATACCTGTGGCTTTTGGACGCATTTGTGTATTTCTAAAATCTAATCCAAGATGTATTCCAGCTTGTGGGGCATATTGTTGGTGGCGTTTGTTGTCAACTCCTACCCTGTCAGACCAAATATTTAATCTGTACTTGACTGACTGTTGTTGTGCCCATTGTAGCTTCAGCTGGAGTCGGCCACATGACAGTAGTTGTTTTACTTCTTTATTCGTGCTTTTGTGACCATTTTGATGGTTGTAGGGAGATGTTGGTGAAAGTGGAGTGGGTTCTCTGCATGCTGGCGTGTGTGCGACTTGCAGTGAAAGTGGAATAAAGTACTTGACTGAGGTGCACTTTGGTCACTTAGTCGCACAGACTATACAAAACAAGGGAATTGTCCATGCGTTTTAGCTTTGAGTTTAGCGAGAATAAGAGGGAGAAGATTTTAAAACCTATTTGAATTTATTCTATGAGAAAGATTTGCGAACAGGCTCTTTTGTTCCTGTGTCTGGTTAAATTAGGAATAACACGCTTCCTCTCATACTCTGTCCTTTTCTGTCCCCTCCTATTCTGTGTCTTTATTGGGTTCAAATCTTTCTTGCTGCCTTTATTGTTCTTTATATGTGCTTTAGATGTAGCTGACGTGTGCAGCCCTTGATGACAGATGTCATTGTGGCAGGTGTCCGAATAACATGTTGCGTGAAAGCTCCGTACTGCCCCAGCCCACATGGGCCTTTCAACCCCACATTGCTTCTTGCCTGCATAGTTCTGCTTCAGCCCTTTACTTGTCGTGGCCAAATGAAATAAATCTCTTTGCCATGTCAGTGCCAAGCTTTGTTTCATGTCTGCAATGGTCTTGCTTTTTCTGACACTTTCTAGCGCTCTTTTCAAGCCCTGTATTAGAAATAGTGTGACCAGCAGAAGGGAAGTGATTGTCCCTCTGTACTCAGCACTGGTGAGGCCGCACCTTGAGTATTGTGTTCAGTTTTGGGCACCTCAGTATAAGAGAGATATCGAGGTGTTGGAGCGAGTGCGGAAGAGGGCAACAAAGCTGGTGAAGGGCCTGGAGAACAGACCTTATGAGGAGCCATTGAGGGAGCTGGGTCTGTTCAGTTTGACGAAGAGGAGGCTGAGGGGGGATCTCATCATGCTCTACAATCACTTGAAAGGACATTGTAGAGAGGTTGGTGCTGATCTCTTCTCACAGCTAATTAGGGACAGAACCAGGGGGAATGGTTGCAAGTTGCAACAGGGCAGGTTTAAGCTGGACATTAGGAAGAAATTCTTCATGGAAAGAGGAAGAAATTCTTCACAGAAAGAGTGGTCAGACACTGGAACAGACTGCCGAGGGAGGTGGTTGAGTCGCCATCCCTGGATGTGTTCAAGTGTCATTTAGATGTGCTGTTGGGTGATATGGTTTAGGGGTGACCTTGTAGTGTGGGGTCAATGGTAGGACTTGATGATCCCAAGGGTCTTTTCCAACCTGAATTGTTCTATGATTCTGTGATTCTCTTGGTTGGCATTCCAAGGTGCCAAGGACACTGGATGTTGTGTCCTGAGCAGGTGCACGTGTTGGACTGTTGGTTCTTTAGTGTCCTGCACATTCCTTTGGATAGGGATTTTGTCCTCACTTTGCTTTTTGAGAGGTCTGTAACTCTGTGTGAGTACAGATGAGGTAGAAAGACAGTCGTAAGCAGGTGGCTGCCATGGACTTTGAAGTATGAGAATGTAAAGTGTGAGTGTGCAGCTGAGCAGAAGCTGATCTAGTCTCTTTCTCTTTTTCCTTAGGTTAACTGTAATGGCTTCACAATTGAAGATGAAGAACTCTCTCATTTGGGATCAGCCATATTTCCTGAGTAGGTTGATGTTAATATTTTTAAAAATAAAACTTAACTTATTTAAAAACAAAGGTTCTTCTACCTGTATGGAAGTAAATCTCTACTGAAAGAAATTTAGTGAAACGCTTAATTTGTCTCGTTTTAAATATCTTCAATTAGCTAATAAAATGTGGCCAATGATTTGTATCAGTGTTTCTTAAAGATCTAGTAATTTTGATAAAATTGCAGTTGTAATTTGTTTTGCAGCTTAGGTTGTGAACTATACACAGACTTGTAGAAAGCAATTACTTGGCTAGCACGTTCTGGACAGGGACATCATGTGACGATCAAAGTAAAATGAAAAGGGTTGCAGGTGACTTTATTCACAACTTTTTGTTTAGGCTGGATATAATCCTTCATCTGGTGTTCTCTGAACAACACCGCTTCTACCTTTGTTCTCTGGCAAACAGTAAATCCCTTTCATAACTTCTTTCAGCCTTCTTGGATGTCTTAAAAACTACAGTGCTTTATCTTGCCATGAGAGTGGAAAAATACGTACAAGCTTATTTGCCTTAAAAATAAACTGCCAATTTTAAGTGTTAACTGCAGTTTGTGGATGGGGGAGCACAGCTCTTTTAGCAACATTTTTTCCATTTAAGTCTGCCCTTCCCACTTAATGTAGTAGCAAAGAGGAATATTTTCTGCCCCTGTTCTTTGCAACCTCAGTACTGAAAGTATTATCACTGTCTGCTCAGGTTGACTTCCTCGCGAGACACAGATTACCAGTAGCTTATCTATGTCAAAGTAATCTAAAACTTCCAGATGCTCAATTAAAGCAGGGCCTGATTTTACTATGTGCTACTGCATATAGAGAGTAGTAGATAGTCCTTACTTCACAGAGCTTCCGTCTTCAGGCAGGTCTGTTTGAAGTCTGTATCCCTGATCTACAGATTGGAAATTAAGGCCTTGAAATGCCCAGGATCAGAGTCCTCAGAGAGGAGAGTATCAAGCCAGGATGTTCTGGAAACATTTGACACCATCCTTTGTTTGTAAATGCTCAGCATGCAAGAGCCAGATCTTTCCTACTTAACAGTTAAGCCTGTGAGTTAAAAAGACTGAAGAGACTATTATTTTGCTAGATTGGAAGAGAAGAAATTAAAATTACATATTTCATTTCAAATAAGCAACAATTTGCACCTTCTCCAAGCTTGGTAGTAAAGCGAAGTGCTTTTCTCTAGCAGTCCAAGTTTTTGTGTAAGTCATTTTCTTGCGTAACAAAGAGATCTCTTCCCTCCTGCTTCAAACGTGGAGGCTTTTCACATTTTTCATAGAAACCAGCTGAAATTTTAACACCCATCTTAAGTTGTGATGCAGAAAATGGCTTTCGTTTTCCTTTATTTGCTTGTTTCCTTTAGGTTAAATGTGCTTCTCTTTCTTTCTCTTCGAGGAGAATAGTCTGTCATCGGTACCTAAATAGGATGTTGATAGTTAAGCTGTTTGAGCACCCCTGCCAGCTGTCCCACAGCACTATAAGAGTGGGAAAATAATAACTTGCTTAGTCCTGCAGTAATAGGATTTGAAAATTGTAATGATTCATTAGCACAGCCATTCTCCATGTCATTAGAATAAATATCAGTACAACAGATTTTCCCAAGGTTACCTTCATACTAAGCCTCAGAATAAAAAGAGCTTACAGAGAGACTGACTCAATCTTTCAAACTTGTTCTGTGAAGTGATGCTTAACTTTTTGCCTGTTGCTTTTGGTGATGGTGGGGGGGGAAAGTTTACTTCTCTACTTTTACAGTGTCGCATTGATGAACCATAGCTGTTGTCCAAATGTGATTGTAACTTACAAGGGGACCTTGGCCGAAGTCAGAGCTGTTAAAGAGATCGAGCCTGGAGAAGAGGTAAGTGCACCATGTTCCAATGTGCTCTGTATGCCTGCATCCTAAAAGTGGGATCCACCTTGCTTTTCAGGATTGATTTTGATTAGAGGATGATTTAATAGTAGGGAGGAAGGACCTTTCGTTTCTCAGAGAAGCGTTAAGATGTTGCTTTGGAAAAGTTGGGCTGGTTCTGGAGGTCGGAAGTGATTCTCGGCGGCAGTATCCTATTTTGTGCTAAAACAAGGGAAGGGCACCTGCAGCAGTCGTGGCGCATCTGCCAGCCTCTGTGTCAGTTTACCTATCTGTAAAATGAGGCTGAGGTTACTGATGTTTGGCTGGTGCTTTGAAATTCCAAGATCAAAGCAAATTATTACTGCTGTAATAGTTCCCAGTGTAATAGTAATGTGTTGAAACTGAAGCCAAAATAAACAAGGTAAATGGGTACAGATAAGTCCTCTGACTTCTGTTTGGACAGAGTATCCACAAAACATGGGGACGTGGTCGTACCACCTCAGCGGTGTTTGCTGGGAAGTCATGTTAAAACAGGAGTGTGGTTTTTAGGTGGAGCGAAGCTGAACAGTGACGGATAAAATTCTGTGAAGTTGAGTAAGGCTCTGGGTTTACCTTGAAACTTTATCAGTCAAATAATGAACTTGGCAGGGAGTGCTCAGCAGCAGAGATGCTTTTTGCTTGAAAAGAAATCAAAAAGATGTTAGATAGAGTTGAGGAGGATGTTCATATATCTGCAGGGGATGAAGATAGGGAACATTCTCTGGGGATGGAGCTTGTATAGAGTTTCAGTGGCTCATTTGTTAGTGTTAATTTAGTGGGAAAGGTTAATGCTGATCAAAATAAGTTCAGGTTTGATTTTGATAACTCTCTTTTGATAATGCTTTCTGAAGTACGTGATGCCAGTTTCAAAGAAGGGGGGAGAGAGGGTATTTTTGTGGATTCTAGCTGTTCACCAATGTGAACAGAAGCACCTTTAGCTGTTGGAGCCAAGGGTGAGTGGTGCAGGTGAGCATCTTCTTTTTATGCTGTTTACTAACGATGATTTGTCTGTGGTGTTGGCAGTCACTGCAAATGCATTGTGGTAATGGACAAGGACTGATCCCGGTTTTGGAATTTTACTGTGGAATCCCGGACATTTTCAGCATTTTTGGGGAGGGCTTACTGTGAGAGGTAGAGATGTGGATTATTTACCTTGCTTGGCACCCTCTTTTGATTGAGTTGTGTCTCAGAAGCTGCGTCAGTTCTCCAGGACCTCACGGCTTTCGCACATTTGCTTTTCTGACTCTTACAGTATTTTGTCGGTGTGAGCTCGTGGTTTCACTTGTGCTCTGTGCGGTCTTACGGCCTGTGTCTCCATCTTCAGGTTCAATGTAGCCATTGCATGGCAACATTTCCAAAGTTTTTTGCTGTAAATACGGTTCCTGCATTTTGCATGCCTCGAAAACAGGGAAGGGAGGAGAGGAGTGGGAGAGGAAGCGTGCGATCACACAGAGGAAGAAGAACATGTGCTGTGTGAAATTGCGCGTGCATTTTACTTTATAGAAGAAAGAAACCTTGAGCATAAAGACTGGGCAAAACTTTTCAGGCAACTATAAATGAGGAAATTAAGCTGCAAAACGATCAGCTATGCCGTGTGTACGGCATGTTTCTTGGGGAGTTCTCATTTTAAAAACAGAGCATTAAAGGTAGTTGCAGGGGTTCTTTTGTGAAGGCCATTGAAGTAGAGGAAGACAGAATAGTGAATGCAAAGGGTCTTTAAAATGTTCAAACCCACATTTTCTTTGCTTTAAAATATAACTGCTAAAGTAAATCAGATATTCATTCTCCTAGAATGGGAGCACTGGGCCTCTCTTCTTTTCAGAGATCTAAAGGTCTTGTCCTAAATTTCTAAAGCTACTAGTGAAAGCTGTTGCCTTAATTTTTGTAGGTTTTTCAGAAAGAAAAATTACAGATTCTAGCCTCCAAAAAAACCCCAGGCCACTGTAACTTATCCTAGACTGGATACCTGGAATTATTTTATTTCTGAAAAGTAGGCATCCGTTTGTAGTCCTGTGGGAGCCCGAGACTTATGCTGTGATAGCTTCCTTATCTGCACCAGAATCTTGTTGTCCTGAGGTTAAGCCAGGGTAATATTTGAGGGAAATTCCACAATGAATAGGAAAGGAAACACTTCTCTGTCAGATTGCACTCACAAATGGTGACTCCTGATGCTGCTGAGAGGTTTGGAATGTGAGGGAGCAGGCAGGTGATGTGGCTGCAGGGATCCACAGGCTGCATGGATATGTAGTCATCATATTACATGTACCAGAACTGATAAATAGGTGTAGTTGTGCTGCTTTTCGCTGACTGCTGTGTTTTTACCACGCAGGTTTTTACCAGCTATATTGACCTGTTGTATCCCACAGAAGACAGAAATGACCGGTTAAGAGACTCGTATTTCTTTAATTGTGACTGCAGGGAGTGCAGTACAAAAGAAAAGGTAATAAAACCGGTGTGAAATATGCTTCTGACTGTCAAGGCACCTACCCAGGTCCTTAGATGTAATATTCTATCTGGTTAAATTACATTTTGAAAAGTAGGATAATAGAGAAGGGGGCGTGGATTTGTCTTTCTGTCTACGAGATTTTCCAATACTCATTCTTTCCACTGTAATCGTGAAACATGAGGAAATTTCCTGGAGAGGCTTGTTTAAAGTTGAGCTACAGAGCAAAGATAAAACTTTGTTAAAGTAGGTAATTGTACTATGTTTATGCTAGCTGGCCAAAAGAATTTAGCTCAGAATTTTATTTATTTTTTTTTTAACTGCATGTTTTCTGCCAGCTCCCAGTGAGTGAATCTTGCTTGGGGCATTTCTGGGGTCTTGTCTGGAATAGAGTCCTGCTGCAGTTCCCGGTTGGGACATCTCAGTTGATTCTAGGCGACACTGTATGACATTGCTGGGTGGTTTGGGGACCCAGCAGAATCGGTGAAACTGGCTTTCCTGCAGTGGCCTCATGCCAGTCTTCTTGTGGGCAGGGTGGTCCTGGGTCACAGCCCCTTGCAGTGTGCAGGCCAGGCATATGTTCATTAGATGTCATCTGGTGCCCTTCAAGGCACGAAGGCAGACATCCAGACAGTGGCCCTTAAAACAAGGTGTTGGTTACTTTGATGAAGAGCACTTAGACGGGAAAAAAGGTACCGAAACACAACAGGTAGTGACACAGCTGTGTCTTTGCAACCGTTTGGACCTCCTTCTCTGGAGATCTTAGGAGAATTGAGCTTTGTGTGGCTTGTTGGTCATTCCAGCCAAGATCAGGCTGATATGAGCCAGTCCTTAAGCTCTAGATCACTTCCTCCCCCATTTTCATAAAGATGTCTTTTTAAGAGCTGCTTCTCAAACTGCACAGACAACCATCTCCTTCCTCTAAATGGTGTCATCTTTTGTAACTTTTCTTTCTAAATAGTAACCAGTATTCTTGTTTGAGGCCATTTTGTTGATACCATGGTTATGTTTTTCCCCACAGTTACCTTGATAACTTTGCCACTGAGTTTAACGAAGCCAGAATTTCACCTGTGATTTCCAACAATGTGCTGCTCTTGGAATCACCTGTCATTCAGCCTCATTCAGCTCTGGAAAGAGTCCCCTGTAGCCCTCTCAGCTGGCAGATGAAATAATAAAGGAAAAAGAAATCTAGCAACAATGCGAGGCTTAAACAGCAACAGATTATGTCCAGATTGCAGCTGACTCCGTGAAGTAGCGAGTTAGATAGCAAGAGTAAACGGAGCTGTCCAGCAGAAATAACAAAATACATGGAAATGTGGTCTGTAGATACACAAGTTTCTTTTCTGTTTTTAATATCACTTGGTTTTCCATGGAGCTTTCACTTGGTAGTAGAATCATAGAATGGTCTAGGCTGGAAGGGACCTTAGAGATCATCTAGTCCAACCTCCCTGTCATAAGCAGGGACACCACCTCTCGACTAGACCAGGCAACACATGCGGACCGAGCGGGAATCAAACCTGCGACCTCGGTGAGGTCATTGTTGTCAGCCCCACGCTCAATCCACTGAGCTAACCGGCCCCCTAAGTAGGTGTAAGGTATATGGGTGTTTCTAGCCTTAAAACTAAACTTGGTTCAATCCCTAATCTCTTGGAAGCAGTGAAATTTCCTGTGCAAAACGGCTTTCATCACAAAATTGAAAAGCTCTGGGATCTTTCAAAAGAAAGGGACTTCGTGGAAGTAGAGAATGGCAGATGAAGTGGAAGGTACAGAGGATTCTAGGATTGCCAGCCAAGGCTTTAGAGAAGAATTGCAGGTGCATGTTCTATCTTTGTTTTTATATTCTTTGAAGAGCTTAAGTTCCCATTTTAATAGAGTAATTTTGTGTAGCAGGTGGAGCTTCATATGTAGGGCTTGGAACCTGCGTTTTATAACATCCATTGTGTTTCCTTCAGGATAAAGAGAAACTGGAAATCCGCAAGCTGAATGAGCCTCCCTCGGCAGAGGCGGTGCGGGACATGATCAAATATGCCAGGAACGTGATTGAGGAATTCAGGCGAGCCAAACACTACAAATATATCCTTTGTCTCGCCCTGGCTCCATGCACGGGCTTAGTGTGTGACCTAAAAATCTCACCTGCTGGATCCCTTCAGAAGGAGCTGCAGGAGAAATGCTAGGACCGTTAGGAGCTAAACTTACCTTGGTCCTCTTTTTGTCTGGAGAACTGTCCCTGGAGACAGGGGACAGTGCTTCTTTGGCATTACCAGGGGTAATGCTGTCTAATGAGAGGCCGCCTATTTATTGGGTTCCTTGACTACTTCCTACCTCCTAGTGAGTTACTGGAGATCTGTGAACTCAGCCTGGACAAGATGGGTGCAGTGTTTGAGGACAGTAATGTTTATATGTTACATATGATGTACCAGGCCATGGGTGTCTGTCTCTATGTGCAGGACTGGGAAGGTGCACTGCGTTATGGGCAAAAAATCATCAGACCATACAGGTAAATAGCAGACTTTTTTTTCTTAGTGCTCTAATTCAGCAATCTGAATAACTAAGGCAAGTTTGGACAGAGATCACTTTTCTCGGTATGTGTTGTATAAACATGCTACATATTACATCACTTCTGAAAAATGAATGTTTAAATGCTGGGACAGATTTTGTTACTGCTTTGAGTTCCCCAAATAAGTTCGTGCCACCTTGGCTAATGTGCTAGTTCTGCTTAGCTAGATAAATGCTGGGTGTTTTAATTTCCTAGCACTTTGCTAAAGAAGAGCTTCGAATTGCGTCTGTAGTTAGTGCTTTGTAGGAGGGAGGGAAGGCAAAGCCTGCTGTTGTCAACCTCCTGCCTTCTCCCGGCTGCAGGAGAGCAGAGCCCTGTCCCAGGACTTGGGCTGAGCAGCAGAGGGAGCTGGAGCCGAGCTCAGCCCCTGCGCTCGGAGGCTATGGGTGCCATCGTGTTCCTCATTTCCACTGACCTGGAGCTGGAGGAGTGGGAACAGTGTGCAGGCTGAAGCCCCGTGTGGGGCAAGGCAACCACGTGGCCTCCGCAGGAAAAAAATTAATGCTCTCTCCGATTAAATTTTTTTTTTTTCCATGTTGTTACGGTGGTGGATCTCGCTCACTAGAGCCGGACATGTTACGTACCTGATCTGATCCTGCCACGAATCTCCCAAGCATATTCTAGTCTTGAGACATGACCTTCTTGCCAACGGGAGGGGGAGCACAAGTAAAGCTCTCCCTTTGGAGCAGATGCCAGTGTGAAGTCACAGATCACTTGGCAGAGAGCAGCGATACAAAGAAGGAGCCAACATTCCCCCCCTGCCCCGGGGGCTCAGTACTATTTATCTTCCCTGAGACTTGCCCAGCTCCTCTGGCTCTGAGCCTGGCATTCCAGGTCAGCTCTGCTGAACTGGGCTTTGCCAGCTCAGTGTGTGTGAGGACAGAACAGCGTGTGTTGCTGTACCCGCTGCCCAGGGCCCCTCGCTTTCCGTTAAAGACCAGCTATTGTGGAATAGTTACTTCTGCAGGTGTAGGGTGGCTCCAGAAATTCGTAACAATGCAGTCTCTTTCTGTAGCTGGCCAGCTGAGAACTAGTGGCAGAAAGTCGTTGCCATCTGACAGCTGTTGGGAGGCATATGGTGGTTTCAGTTCAATTCCCAACTGACAGGCGTCCCCATCCCAGACACAGTTGGCACCGACTCCTGGCAGTTGTGGCAGAGGGGATGAGTGGTGCTGAATGGGCAGGGGCAATGAGAGGCGGCTTCTTGCCGCCCGAGAGGGAGATTGGGGCTAGGAAAATGCAATGAAACTGCCAGGTTTGATGAAGCTGAATTTCCTTCTCTCTTGCAGTAAGCATTATCCCTCCTACTCGCTGAATGTTGCCTCCATGTGGCTGAAATTAGGGAGACTGTATATGGCACTGGAGAACAGAGCGGCTGGAGTTAAAGCCCTGAAGAGGGTATTTATTTCCTGGTTTCTTCATTAATAACACCAGTTTGGGCATGGGATCACTGAAACACCGCGTGCTTCTCTGTCAGTAAGCCTGGCTTGGTAGGAAATGCACCATGGGTTAATATATTTGGTTACTGGATTTTTTGGCTCGGTTTTGATTTTTCCAAGGATGCAGTTACAGGTCTGTTCTCACATACAGGGGGTCTTACCTTTACACGCTGGACTTCTGCTGCAGCAGCTGGAGTGAGCATTGCACTTAAACATTTGCTGTACATTCTTTGCTGAGCTCCAGCTGCACTAGTCTAAATGAAGCAGAACTCTAGCTACTCCTCACTTGCTAGATAAGGACAGAAAAAGTGCTTGGCTCTTAGAAAAGGCACTTAGTGTTTCATTGAAGTGCGTGATTTCCATACCCAGGTTAAACTGGGCATGTTTTTGGTGGTTATTTGTTCTGGAACCACTTGATTTTTAAATAGCTGAAGGGAATTCAGTGCATCTGGTAATGCTGCAGTTGGCAAATACAGCTTCTGGTTTTACGTTTTTCTTCACCCTTTTTATTAAGTCTGTTCCTTATTATTTCAGTTTTTCTTCTATTTCTTTTATTAGTCTGTACCACGTTTCTCAGCTTTCCTCCCCTGTTGTTGTTGGACAGAAGTTTAGTTTCTTAAGCATCAGTGACTACTGTAGCATATAATGACTTGGTATGGAGTGTCACAATCTTTTTTTTTTTTCTTCCTTTTTAGATTCTGTTAAGTTTGTAGCCAGCAATAACACAGCCATCTAGCCATGATAAAAGATAGATACTCCAAGAATATAATGCTCTAAAATTTAACTGTTACCTAGTTTATAGCATGAGTTTTCCTTTGCTGTGGTGTTGAAGCTTTGACTAATGCTGGGACTTGTGCCAGTAGGAACATAGGATGGGGGGTTGGGAAGTGTAGGTAGATTTGTTGGCATAGTTAGCTTCCTAACACAAACATTTTCTAATGACTCACTTCCAAAAGCTGCCTACAGGAACTGCCCAAAGTTATCCCAGCCCCTGATGTTTGGGATTTAGTGGAAAAACAAAACCATTGTTCTCTGTGGGTTTGCAAGCAGCTCATCCAGAAGGCCTTCCTTTCTTCTTTAGGGCAGGAGGGGGAGCGGAGTCATTTCTCGCTGCTGCTGAAGTGGAACCAAAGGCTCTTGTTGCACTGACTTAACAAACACAAGAACATAATTCCGTAAAAGTTTCCTGAGGAGAAAATGAGTCAATGCTCTGATGGCTAGCGTGCTGCAATTCCTTGCTTTGTCTTTAGCACTGCGCTCTTTAAACGTTCTCAGACTTATTCCACGCTTCTTTCAGTCCTATCTATGACTGCCTCTTATTGCAGCTGTTTGGGGCCACACCTAGCCTTTTCTCAAGTGGAAATTTTGCCTCTGCACCCACTCCACAGCGCACTGCAGGCAGCAGCTGTAACGTGCAAGTCAGTGGGTTTAGCTGCCTCAAACGGCCACCCTTAGAACCAGAGCAGGCTGTAGGTGAAACGGCAGGAGTCAGGAACAGCAGCGTCTGTCTGAACAATCTGACAAGGTCTTAGTTTTGCCTCGGTGGTTGCCTAAGCTGTGGCTTCCTTTGTAAAGCCGTGGTGGCCCCTGGAAGCGGCAGAGGGTTTTCAGACTCAAGTCTGAAATGCCTTAACGTAATGTCTGCAGTAGTAGGCCTGCTTGTCTCTGGCAGTGGAAGGCTAAATTGTTAGGAACAGAGCTCTGTCTGATACCGGTTAAGTCCTCTGCCAGGATATTACCCACCTCACTTGCAGTTTTCTGTCCTGGAGCTGGTTGCATTCAAAGTAGTTTTGTCAGGAATATCATTTTGAAAGGTGCTTTGGGATCCTTTAAGATGAAAGATGTATTCTCTGAATGTAAAACCTTTATTACTTAGTTTTGAATTTCATTTTATTTCCTACTGGGTTTATGACTACAAGGGGACAAAAAGTAGCTAGAGGTGTCAGACTGTTTCAAACCTCTAAAGAGAGTATTTATAGCCTGGTGTTATATATGAATCAATTGTGTGAATATTTTTTTCTTTTCATAGGCAATTGCTATCATGGAAGTAGCACACGGGAAAGATCATCCATACATTTCAGAGATCAAAAAGGAATTAGAGGACCACTGAGCCTTTGAATCTATGCAATCCTTCAAACCTTTATTTAAAAAGCCTTGTTATGGAAACCTTCAGGAGCACTTTGAAAAGTGGTAGAGTATGAACACAGTTCTGTCCTATAATTGGAATGACAAACACACTCTAGGCCTTGCAAAATTGTTCCCAGCTTCCACACATCTACAATTGCCTATTTTTTTTTATTTTTTTTTCTTTTAAAGGAAGCGTCTGTGGCTTCTTAAAGGTTATGCCTTTTGAAAGCTCACATGCAAAAATGGCCATTTTTTTCTTGATGGATTTTAATGTGTGTCTTACTTGTGTAAAGTAAATAAAGTGGTCTTGGCCCCTCTTGATTCCTCTTGTACACTTACCATGGGCACAATAGTTTCGTGACATCTACTTTTGCCTAAGTCATTTCATTTAATCTGACAAATTAACTGGCCAAAGCTGTGGGGGTTTTTTTGTTGTGATTTAGTATCCAATTCTTCTTTCCACATACCATTTTTGTTTGCAGTGGCTTAGCTGAGAGAAAGGGGGAATGGGGCTGATGAATTCTGCATTTTGTGCAGGAAAGCCACCATTGTTCCCTCAGCTGGTTGCATGCGCAGGTCCATCACTGCACGTGGGGATTCAGCACTGCAAGGACCTGGAGCTCAGCCTGTCTTGTCCAGAGAGTGCTGGCACCAAGCTCGGAGGCTCCCACAAGACGTGAACTGCACAACTTCTGTCCTTTTAATCCCCTTTATAGGTTGAAGTGAATTTATTGCAGAAGAGAGCTTGCATTTCCTTATGGACATACCTTTGCCCGCAGTGGATTAAAGCTAGTCTATTAATATGTTAGCAGTTACTTTTAGTAGAGGAACAAGAACACTTTTCTGAGGAAAAAATCCAGGACTTTACTTTCTCTGCCTATAAATAATACCAGAGTGTGGGAGTTTTTTTTCTCTATTTAGATCAATTGCAGGAGCATGTAGCTGTGTACTTCTAGCACTGGAGTTGAAATATGTTGCACGGCAAAACCACCTGACCATTCCTTACTGCTTTTCACAGCTTTTATAAAGTATGATGAGAGAGAGAGAGCACATAACCATTAAGAACTTCATCATATTTTCTTGCATGTAAGTGCTGCTCTGAAAATAATACTGTGAGAGAGCAAGGGGTTTGTCCACTCATGTTGCTGAAAGCTTTCACTGCTCTCTAGCCAGCAACTGGTGCTGGAGTACATAAAACTACACCAAATCTTATTATTCCAGAAAATGAAGGCTGCTTAACTACAGCCAAGCCTAGGGAGATGGCACCAGAGCTGACTATTTTCATCCTAACTTTATCATTTCATGTAAACCCTTGTCCAGGGAAATAGTCTTCATCTTGGAAAATCTGTCTGCAGCCCAGGTGATACCGCAACACTAAAAAACGGATTAGCCTGGCATGAGCACCAGCAGGAGCCTTGCCCCTGTGAAACCTGGACTGCTGCTTACACAAAGGATCTTCAGAGTGTCCTACCTGTGCCCGTCGGCATTTAACACAGGTATGGTAGGTGCAAATACAAACCCTTAAGCTGTTACAGGGAATGTCACAAGAGTAGGTTTCCTTGAAAAACATGTTTTATTGTATATTGTGAATATGAAAGACAGCCTTAGCAAAAAAACTTAGTGACTGAAGACATTCTTGTATTTGCAAAAGCATATAAGAAACTATTTACACAAAGGCAGTGAAAGGGGGTAAAAAAGTATTGCAGTCAATTAATGCCAAATAGAACTTTATAAAAAGAGAAGGAAAAGAAACAGTGCAAAAATACTGTCAAAAGTAATCAGTTCTATACACAAGATAAAACTGACAAGCATAAGCTTATGTACTGATATGAATAATACATTAGAATATAAAATAGCATGCATAGATTATTTTTTAAAGGCTTTCAATGGCATAGAATATTTCTGCCATTCAGCCCTAACAGGAGGAAGTCGGGGACAGGGAAGGCCGATAATTGATGTCTTGTTTCTCTACAAACTGTGTACATACAATGAGGTGGTGAGATTCAGATCACTGTTTAGTGCTAAACTGTCATGAACAGAATTATGGAACAAATAAAACAGGAAGCATCAAAATACTGAAGTAAAACAGGACAGTAAAATCCAGTGACATAAAACTTAAACATGTTATTTCATTTAACACATGTTCCACACAATTATATACGGGAATATTACAGTCATCTGCATATGTAAACCTTTTCCCTTTGTAAAATAGCCAAAGAAGGGTATTTTACAAATGAGAAAAACATGTTTTCCATCTGGAGCAATCATAACAGGACAAACAACCTATTAGCAATGATTCTGGCACTAAAGATTTGTTTTCTTTTAAAAACCGAGTAGCAGCAAGAAAATACTTTTATTTAACATACACAAAAAGGAAGTTCTTACAGACATAATGAATAATTAAGTTGTGGTACTCACCAGCACAGGACATTGTGAAGGCCAGAGGAATAAATGGGTTGTAAAGCAAAGGTAATTAGATTCATGGGAGATGGATCCATCACTAGTATTAAACACAGCGAGTGGGATATAACTTTTACCTCAGGAAGTCTTCTCCATAGATTTGTGTGCTCTATCCATGTACAAGATTGCTGATCAGCATTTATTTTAGAATCACTTGTGGGCTACACATACATAGCGGGTATTGGATCAAAAAATAAAATATTAGTTTAAAATGACCATCTCCACTGAAGCACTGAGACTTACTCACTCTTTTCCAACCTTTGTTTTGCCATTTGCATTTCTGTCTGTTTACAAGAAATTTTAAAAAAGCTCTTGAAATGATGCAAATATTTAATAATATTTGTAGGCACCTGATAATATTTTTAAGGCACCTAATTTAAGTAAGTGGAGCAGAAATGTCCCTCAGTATACTTACAAAGGGCTACATTAGCAATACGCTAAGTAAGTTCTCACCAGTGTGTCTCCTGCCAGCTGAAACTAGTTTAGGGAAAAAGTGTTTCAAATAAGGCCGAGCAGTTAGGGTCCCTGTATAGGAGCAAGCTTGGGGGAACGAGCTTCATCTTTCCTCGGGTAATCAACAACAAGGGGTGCTTGAGCTGAAACAAGTGGGACCTGAGCAGCCCATGTCCCACCATCCGCCGGTGCAGCCAGAGGAGGGTGGAAACAAGATACCCACAGCTCTGAGCGGCATCAGAACTCTGCTGTCATCCCTCCCATCCCTGATCGGGTAATATGGGGCATAAAATGCTGAGATGGTAACTTTAACCAAAAATGTCATGCCAGCAACCTCAATGCTATCATTGGTAAGAGTTTAAAGACAAAAAAAGAACAAAGAAAACCACCAACAAAAAAAAGGGTGTTAAATAAAAATGAGGAGTGCACAAAAAAAGGGAAACATACACAGCGGATTGATTCCCAAGTCAGACTCACTCATCCACTCTGAGAAGAGTCAGAGAGCACCAGCTAAACGTGCCAGACCACAACACGGGGACCTCGGGAGAAGACCGCTCCTGTCAAACTCAGGTGCAGCTTCTTTCATTGACCATTGATGCATCTTTGTGAGTTTTTCAATCTAGACTTTACTCCGAATGGATGAAACTCGTCTCTTAGAACCTACTCACTGTCATGCCTTGATGTTAAAAAAAAAACATGCAACACAACAGAGAGCAACTCCAAACCATCCTTATACTTCAGGATTCTGTGGGACAGAAACTAAACTGTACTGCTGCTTTAAGTCTCATGTGTTCGTTCCTACAGTGACTAATAAAACTGGATGCAAAATGGATTTTCCTGTCACTCCCTAAAGGTTAGGAAATACTGCCCAAGCAATTTTTGGTCTGATAAAACTACAACAGGTTCAAAGTCAGAAGGTTCAGATTTCCCCCTACAAAACTGGATCACATTTCAAATCGTAGAGAACATCAGCATGCTGAGGTCTGGTTGCAAGCTGAGGTGGAAAGGAACCTCTGAAGACAGGCACCAGCCCAAATCACTTACAATATTAGCAGATCAAGTCAAGATAAAATCTAGCAGGGAAAAAAAATACACTGAAGTCAGATGAAAGGAAAAGTTTAAAATTACCATTCTTTGACAATGAAAAGGAAAAAGTGAGTCACATTGGCCTCTATCTACCGTACCAGCTAGGAGTTAATTGGAAATGACTGTTTACTACATGGCCATTTATTTGGCTCATTAATAAGCACTGGCTTAATTTGGAAAAGGTTTTTGGTGCCATTTTGTAATTAATATTTTTCTAAGACACCTATGATACATCGTTGCATAAAAAACATTTGCTTAATTTTCTACCTTTCAAACACAGCCCTTTACATACTCTTACGCAATAACTTTCCCGTGTTCGTTGTAGAAACAGAAGGATATGTTTCAGCCAAGAAAAGCTGAATAATAAGACATAGGAACAGATTCTTTTCCCTCCTGATTTTCTACTTCTCACATCCAAGCGGAGCAATGGGACTTGACAGCTCTGAGTTCAAACTTAATTCATCATTAGGAAATTATTCAAAAACTTATAACGAGATAACTAATTTAATAGACTTTGCTTCAAGGTTTATTCCTGGGCTTGTTTCCCAGATATAAAGCATCTCTGTGCAATTATCATGCAGATGCTGCTGAAAAGACTTTAAATGGTTGCCGCTAATTTAACAAAAGATATGTTGGCATAGGCAGAAGAAATTAGATGAAAACTGAAGCTTGCTGAAAACTCAACAGTTCCCTAACAGGAACATGGTCAAGATATTACAGCTAAATAACTCCTCACCATTTGCTGGTAGCTGGAATTCTCCACCAGAATTCTTGTCGCCTCGTTAGGCCTGTATTGCAGAGAACCAAATTGACACAGCACAGCTTTGAAAACATTTAGGAAACATTCTGGTACAGAGCCTTAGTGAAGCTCCCACTGATTTTAGTGACAGGTATGTGTGTAGGTCCCTTTGGTGCTGAACTTTAGGCCAATGATGGGACTAAAACATTAAATTTATCATAGAATGGTTTGGGTTGGAAGGGATCTTAAAGATCACCTTGTTCCAACCCCTGCCATGGGCAGGGACACTTCCCCCTAGACCAGGTTGCTCAAAGCCCCATCCAGCCTGGCCTTGCCTTTCCTGATCTGGGAAAGGGATACCAAGAAAGAGAATTTCACTGTGACAGAGTAACTACACTGCATCACGTGTTCGAGGCGCTGTGGAACCTCCACCCTTGGAGATTTCTGAAACTGGATGTGACCCTGGGCAAGTTTGTCCAACTTTGAAGTTAGCTGTGGGGTGAGCTAGGCTGGGACCAGAGACCTCTGAGGCTCCTCCCCAGCCTGATCCCTTCACTCGCAACCCCACAGGCCTGCTGAGGCG